CTCCAACAAGACAGTATTAAACTGTGGACTTTTATTTCTGATGCCTCAGATTTCAAGGAGTGGAAGAAGCTAGACTAGTTATCACCCTATCGTGAGGCAACCTAGTGCCATTCTCAGCAGTTAGGTTTTCACACAGGCTGTTGAAACCCCAGATCCCAAGCCCACACAACACACAAGCCCACGCAGCACCAGGGCTGGTTATGCAGCCCTGATTCTGCTTCCGCATTCGAGCCTATCATTTCTTTGTGCCAATGTAGCAAAGTGGATTAAGGTGCTGACCCTGGTGGGGAGCAGTAAGAAAATAGTTAGGTCTGCTTTCTGATGTGGATTCCATTTAAACACTAGGGGCATAATAATGCTATGGGAGGGAGGAGATGGAGCAATCTAACTAAAATGCCTTCATAGGCACATTATAAGCATTTGTTCTTCACCAACTTCACATTCAGATTAAACACACTCCCAGTGTTCTACTTCTTCCTGTGTTCTTAGACAGGAAATACATTCCCTCAACACTTCAATATTTTTTTTTATTGAGCTATCTTTGGTGGTCACGTGTCACGTCCTGTGTTCCTCCAGTGACCTTAGAAGTCTTTGTATTTGTTCCAATGGATACATCTTAAACACAGACATGCAAAACTGCACCAGTTGTATGCAGCGGGTCAGGGGAGTAAAGCTGGGATCTGACAGATACAAACTGATTGACTCAAATCACAAAATGGAAGGTGGGACGGAAGATCATAGATTCAAGAACAGTTTTGCAGTCATGAGATACAGAATAAAAACAAAAAACAAAAAAAACTCGTATTTGAGTCTGGCAGCAATCAAGACAGATCCCATGGGAAAGGATTAAATTTTTCAACAGTTAAGAAAGTGATGGTGCACTGAGATGATTACTTATGCTCTACGATTTGATAACATTGTAATATATATAGTTCTGTTTTCCCTACAGTTTGATTAACTGGTGGAAGACATCTCAGCCTTTACTGACCTCAGATTTTTCTAAGCCTCTTCTATATCTTGTTAACATATTTTAATGTTAATGGCAAAAAGAGGACCAGAAAACAAACAAACCTAAGAAAACAAACCTGCAGCATTTTTACATTTTAGCATTTTTGTCATAAAGAAGGTAAACATTTTTATCACCATGTCTTGCAGATTGATTTCGCAATAAGCATTAAGTGTTATATTACTGGGACTCAATTGGAGGACTTCATAATCAGTTTTTAATTTGGTGTTCGTGCTGTGTTTGTGATGTTGCTGCATGAATTAACAACTTCACCTCCCTTCCTTAGTAAGGAATGGGTTTCTCAATTCATTTTAAGTACTACCTTCTGTGTAAGGGGCATGTCTACCCTCTTCAGTGATCCTATAAAGCTGTATCAGTACTTATGAATTTAACACAGGCTTATAAAATGCTATATAACAACTTCACATGTATTCATGGGCACAAGAGTTTTCTTCATTACCTATTTTACAGAAAACCCCCTGTAAGTTTTATCCGCAGATGAAAATGAAGTGCTTTTGGTTAAGAAAACCTCTTTTGTAGACTACCGTTAAAGACTAATGCTAATGAACAAGGGGCGCCCCATCCCTGGAGGTGCTCAGGGCCCGGTTGGATGGGGCTGTGGGCAGACCGAGTGGATGGCAGCCAGTCCACAGCAGGGGTTGGAGCTGAGTGAGCTTTAGGGACTCTTCTAAACCAAGCCATCCTATGGTTCTCTGATCTTTGTAGCTCTGACTGTGTAAGGACCCAGCTTGCTAGCAGATATTCTGTCCCATTGGAGGGTTCTCAGATGGTGGCTGCTCCTTCTCAAACCATACTCCTGTGACTACAGACAAGGCTGGTGATCACAGCAGAGAGATGAGATTCACAGCACAGTTCTAGTCTGCTCGTGTTTAAGACAGTAATTGAACTGTTGGAATGAGAACATCTTAAATCATCTACACTGTTGATCTGACATCCTATGAGATACCCTTTTATCTGCTTAGAAGTAACTTGAACTCAGCGATCAAAGCCTTTGTTCACTGTGATTAATAATTATAACCACTTTAAACAGAAAAATTAAAAAAAAAAATTTATGGCAGTCTTAAAAAAAAATGTGCAAGGCTCTCAGTGGGTCAGGCAAAACATTTTCCTGAGAGAGCAAATATTGTAATGAAAAGCGTTACCAACTCTACTGAATTTTCCTCAAGAGAGTGATTTGTCAGTGATTTGTCACTCCAAGCTGGCACCTGGAAGTCTAGTTATTATAGAAGCATATATATAGTGAAAGAAAGTTTGGCATTCTGGGGAGTCACACCAAATAGAAATACAGTCAGCCCTTCTCCCCAGAAACACACAGAGCTTCCTTTTACAGAACAGACAAAACCAGATACAAACCATTTCTGTTCCAGTGCAGAATAAAATCTTTCTCCTTATGCTGACCAGCATAAGTGTACAACCAACCAATTGCCAACCAAGTGGTTGATCCTGTAAGATTAAGAATTCATACATAATTCACAACTGCATACTTTACATACAAATTGCCTTTTCCTCCAAGTGATGCATTAATCTAAAGGAAATAAAAAAATTAAAAGGGATACGTAGCAGTGAGCAACAAACAGTGGCATATTGTTTTTGATACACCAGCTTTCTTACTGTTATATTTTACTGCAGACAGATTGGTTTGCTGTGCACACACTCAATGCAGGAAACACCTTGAGTCAGCTGATCTGATTGGCAATCTGAGCAACAATAGTACAAAACCATAAACGCGGATTAGCACTTCTGCCATCACTCGTACAAGGTCCCTCTGAAGGCATATACATATGTGTATTCATATACACACACGTGCAGCTTGCTCCAGAAGTAATGCCTCCTCTTTATTTCCATAAAAACTACAACTGATACGAAGAGCACAATCAGGCTATTTGATAAAGGAAACTCTCAGCTACAAATGACTCCTTCTCAACACATCATACCGTTAGTTCTGCATTTGCACCAGCGATGAACAGAGACTGCACGCCACACTTTTGTAAGCCTGCACCAGTGGATGAGACCCACTGTGATCACTGCTGAAAAGCACCACCCACCACCTCACTGCGCTCACACCCCCTGGATGGACTCCGTAAATATTCACAAGTATCAGTGAATGTCAGTGGGTGTCACTTTCTCCACACAGAGGAATTCAGTGACACAGCTTTGCTCCATATACACTTCCATGCCAGATGCCGTGCTGTCAGGCTGCCCCTCTGCTGCCAGCTCAGAAACATGTACCTACAACAAGTTTCCAGCAGACCTATGACTTCATTTATCATTACTTAAAACAGCAGCAAAATTCTAAGAAAGCAGTACTTAGTTCCAAATGGGAATCCATCGTTCTGTGGCAACACTGCATATACTTCTGGTGCATGAAAAAGAATTCCAATTAAACTGGATTTATACATGCCTTGTTGAGGACTGGATTTAGCATGAAGTACTTACTGCCTAGTGGTTGGTGGGAATACATCAGAGATGGACAGGAATCAAGGAATCACCTTTGTAGGACAAATTGACAAAGAAACCATAGGTATCAAAGGATCACATCCACAAGATTCATACCATAAAAAAATTATTTTCTGTACATAAATACACACAAGTTAATATGATTTTGATTAGCAGCCAAACAGAAAAATGGCACTACTTCTCAGAGATCAGAATTCTTGAAATTATGTCATGAAATCACAGCAGGAAATTTTATTCTATGGTACAAGTTATTTACAAACAAATTCATTTGAAGTCAAAAATAAAGAATTACGATTTTGTATATAACAGTTACAAATAAATGGCTTTTCTAAGAAACAAGTACACAAAAATTAGATTTTCCTGTTTACAGGGAATGTGAAATGGCTGTATCAATTTAGTATCAAAACTAAAGGGTCTTCAAAGTAATCTAATGTACCACACCCTACCAAATATTATGCCAAATATTTAAAAAACAACACTGTCAAGAAAAAGACTCCATTTTCTTTATTTCAGTTATGATACAACACAAAAGTGGAAAAGAGGAACATAATTAAACAACCACCAATATAAAAACCCTGGTATTTGTCACTTACAGGCACTTTCAAAACTCAGAAAATAAGAAAGTTCAACCGTTTATTCCAAAGCAAACCAACAAAAAAACACAACAACAACACGTTTAGCAAATCAGCTTTCTGAAGCCTAGCCACACTTTTAACCTTCTCAAAATGAATCGCTATTTAATTTAAATAGAACATTTGCATTATCATGACTTGGACCCAAGGAGAAACAAGCACCTCAGATCACAGGGAAGAATGCTGAAGGATGTCACACCACTGCAAAAAGAGTACTTCTAATAAGCAACAGACAAATCAAGTTTCTCAACTAAAAAGATGCAAATAAATAAAGCGGTTATTTTCCAGCCATGAAGATACACAGAACTCACTTCTATTTTGTCCTGAAGGCACCAGGTTCTTCATGGCATAGCTCCATACACACTGTGCCTCCTTGAAGATATAACCATGCACAGAGGCAGCTGGGTGCTCAGGGCAGCATCAAACCAACTCACTTGTGCTGCAGTTCATCTGTGCTGGGCATGAAGCAGCACACCAAAGGCAATGGAAGCAGTGAACAGTATCATAAGTGTCTGAATAAGGAATGTCATACCCCAGCCCAAATACACTTCAGCGCCGAAGAGAACAGAGCATTGGAAGGTAAAAGGGCCCATTGGAAAGTAAGAGTTGGTTGATACTCAAGCACCACTTCCTCCAACCTCAATATCAGTGCGTCTGCAAGAGCAAGAAATCAGACAAAGGTGGCAGAAGGCCTGCATGAATTAGCTAGGAGCTTATGGAAAAACTCAAGATAGAAAAAAAAAAAAAGGTAGTGGAGTCTCTTTCTCTGAAGATATTCAAAATACTCCTGAAGACTTGGCTGTGCAACCAACTGCAGGGAACCTGCTTTAGCAGGGGGTTGGGTTCATTCCAACCCCTACAACTGTGTGAATAAACACAACATCTTTCAAAAGATACTGAGAATTTATTGTAAACAATCTTAGTGCTGTTTTTTTACATCACCAGCCTTCATTAGAGCCTTAATAGCTCTGGCCCTCATTTCAAGCTCAAGGAGTTCTAGCTGCTGTGCTGATGGCTGAACATCTTCTAATGGAGGAACAGCTAAGCTTGCTGCTTTAGACTCCTTTGGGCAAGACTCTGCCAACCCCAGTATCTCATTCACACTTTTCTCAATGTCCTTCTGAAGGTCATCAATCTGACCAGCTCCACTCCTGACAGTGTCTTCTTGCACATCTGGGCTGCCTTCTTCATCACATGGACCCTCTATGTCACTATCATACGCATCTGCATTTATGCTGAGGACATCACTATCTTCTCCTTTACCTGCAACACAAATGCAACAATTGCAGTCAGACAGCCAACAGCGATTTTTCTTTTCCCATTAAAAAAAAATCAGTTCTGCTCAAAACACTCCTCATGGAGTGTATAAAGGGCAGCAAAAAAATCTACGAATTTGAGACAACTAATTCCCTTTGTTTTTCTTACTCATCTTTAAAAGCTGATCTAATTTAGACAGGTGTAAATGCATTTTTATGCCAATAAAAGAATGTATAGTATAGCAAAGCTGCACTACTAGGGAAACATATTCCTTCATATGGATGAATTTTACCAATTAAAATGCTATAAGGTTTTATAATCACAACGAAGCAGAACTGATTATTGTTTGTTATCTTTAAAGTAAGCTTAGTTTTCAAAATGCAGTTTTAAAAATAACATTTAAGAACTATTTTATTTAGTTTAAACGGAATTAGGCACTATGTCAAAAAAAGTACTGAAAGTTCATAGAAACTCCTACTACAGCATATAAATTCAAAATCTACCACAAAAGTATTTCAAACTTATTTAACTTACATCAGTGAAAACATAGGAAGAGCTATGGTATTCACTTTTAATGTCAGCTAAAAGACATAGCTCATTAAGAAAATGAATTAGAAGAGGCAGCGCAATAAATTAAAGGATAAAATAAAAGCCAAACTCAGAGAGTAAATGATCTCAGAATTTGGCTATAGAAAAACTATTGCTTCTGATACTTTGGCCTCAGAAATCATTAGTCTGATGCCAATATTTGTATCTTTGCAAAACTACCATTCACTGCTTCAAATAAAAAACATATAGCCAGATGATGATAATTACTGATTCTAAAGGCTTTTTAATTGCACAAGGCACAGCTATGTTCCCTCTTAATGAATAATGGGGATTTAGCCTCAGTGTTTTTGAAATATATATAATTTACCATGAATATTCTAAAAAAGTTTTCATTCCTGTATAAACTACTGTAATCTATAATGACTTATATGTAGCAAAAAATTGCTTATTAAGTATTTAGACAGTATTGCAAACCTGGTTGTAAAAATTTCTCAGCTCAGTAGAGCACACTAATGACAACATCAACAGCAATGGGCAAATAGTAAAACACATGAAATTCCACATGAACACAAAAAAGCATTATTTTATATATATATATTTTAACATGAGGGTAGCTAAACACTGGCACAGGTTGCCTGAAATAGTCATGAAGTCTCCTGCCATGGACATATTCAAAGCCCACCTGCATACAATCCTGGGCAATCTGCTCTGGCAGCAGGAGGATTGGGTGCAGATGACTTCAAAAGGTCACTTCTCTAAACCACTCAGTGACTCTGTGATTATTAAAACTAATGTCTGCACATCTGGCTTTAAACGGTTGTCTTTCACCTAACTTTTAGTTTGGAGGAGAGCTGGTGGTCGGGGTTGCTAGTTTAATCCATCTGTAAATTTGGTTCCTGAACATTTATCTGTAGGGCTAGAAGAATCATTGACTGTATGCATCATATAACAACAGAACTAGTGACACAGACAAAACCCAAGCAAGTGATCTCTCTGTGATTGTTGCCTTCAAATACCAGGCAATGACAATTTTTTAATAACCTGAGTATTACTAACACTGATAGTAAAGGTGTTTAAGTCATTCAGCTGCACCCGAAGCTCCATCTCAATGAAGGTGTTTGTGGAGGCAGTTGTTGGCTTGAGCTTGCAGGAGTTGTGTGAGGGCAGCACTGTCAGGCAGCAGTCGTGTGACTGAGGCAACATCGCCAGCTGCTCTCACCTGCTTCTAGAACCAGCATGTGGTTTTCTGCACATGAAGGCAGGAGCCCTCACAGAAGATGTCGAGGAGGCTGCCTCCTGTTTCCCCCCCAGCTCATCCTGAGCATGGTAAAGAAAGCAGAACCCCCAGCAGCTGCTCCCTTGCACAGGTGCACTCCAGTTCCACATGCAGGCAAGACATCCTTGCTGGCACTTCCTCTGCATCATCCAGCTCCAGGTGGAAGGTGTGCCCTGAAAAGGCCTCAGGGGCACAAGCAGGAGGTAGAGAACATTTTCCCCATGGTCACTCCACCTTTTGTAGGTGCAGGCCACTCCAATGACCCTCTGCAGCTGGGGTGTGAAGCTGCAGGAGCTGGGTCTGTGACAGGTCCAAAGAAGACCATCCACCAGCCCTTCTACTAGGTAGCACTTGTCAGCCATGTATGGTGCTACTGGGTGCTCTCTGGTAGCATTACATGTCTCCTCAGGTGTTATGGCCTGAACACATCAAGCATTTAGAATTTCTGTGTGGAGACAGAGCTGGACTCGATGATCCTTGGGGGTCCCTGCCAAATTGGCATTTCCTATGAAATAAACAACCCTGACTTTGGCCACTCCAGTATCCTTGGACTGTGCTTCTGCTCCCAGCCCTCCAACCACAAGGGACATCTGATGGCATCCTCCCCTTACATACCAATTTGGAACACCTCAAAATATTCTCAATAAAGGGGTGAACTAACATCATTTACAGACCAAGTTTCTCATGTTACTGCACAGAGACAGTCCAAATGAAAATAAGATGATAGAGAGAAATACTCAGTGTTAAACTACAAACCAATACGGGTAGTTGTTACATGGTGTTCATTAAATGACTGGAAAAGTACTGCTGCTGATTAAAGAAAACTGTTTCCTTACACAACAGGTAACCAAAGGTGTATCACTAATTTACCCACTTTTGCACTTTCTGTTCTGCCAATCAACACAGTGCCTGTGTCTCCCACTGCATTTTTGCATTTAAAAAAGAAAAAAAATACAGAATCATGCCTCAAAAAGATGAAAATTAAGGATGCTTTCATGCATCAAAGATTCTTTCAGCAGAGGATGGTGTCGCGATAGGACATGACTGCCATTTGCAATGAGGCAACAGTGCTTCATCATGGCAGGGACCACTGAAGGCAGAAAAGAATGATCCCAAAACCTCTGTAAATTTTACATTTGGGAGCTATGGGAAGAAGAAATTATAGTTTAGAGATTCTAGATTTAGGATTGCCACCTGTATAATCTCTACAGGTAAGTTTGCTTCCTGCCAGGGACAAACATCAGAGACATCAATAATAGGTTAATCAGGCCTGATAAACAGGTTGACTACTATCCACTCCTCATTCAAATTGGGTCCCAGATGGTTGTTGTAAGGAAACCACAAAACATTAAAAGAGACTTTACATCCCTTGGAAGGACAGTGAAGGAAATAGGAATGTAAGCAATGTTTCTCCTCTGCCCTCTCATTTGGAGGCTGGGACCCAAGAAGAAGGAAGAATATAGGTCGGGTAAATGACTAGCTGCATAACTGGTGTCACAGTCAGAGATTCAGTTTCTACAATCTTGGACAGGCCTCTGAAAGACCAAAAACGTGAGCATGAGACAGGACAAAAATTGAACAGGAAGGACAAGAATATTCTGAAAGCCAGCTGGACTGATTAATAGAGCTTTAAAGTAGATTTGATGAGAGAAGGGGCGGAATTCTATGTGAGCAAGAAGGGAATGTTGTCACTTCAGGAAACAGTGGGGGGAAAAAACTCAGAATTGTCTCAAGGGATCTGATGGGGGCTCCTCTGAGAAGGTAATACTGCTGACAGCCTGTCTTAACTGCATTTACATGCAGCCTGGAAAATAAGCAGGAAGAGCTGGAAGCCACAACACAACTAGAATACTACGATCTAACTGTGATTACAGAAATGTGGTGGGATGATTCCCATGACTGAAGAATAGTAATCAAGGGCTACAAGATTTTCAGAAGAGAAAGACAGAGAAAGAGGGTCAACGGAATTGATGTCTATGTGAAAAAATGGATGGAGTGCAAAAATCTACCTTTGAGAAACTGTCATGAGCAAGTTGAGAGTTTGTGGGTGAAAATGAGGGATGAGACCAATAAAGAACAGCTGGCAACCAGAGTCTACCACATGCCAGCTGAGCAAGGGGAGCCTGTGGATGAGCCTTCTTGCTTCATGCCAGGCTGCAAACAATCCAGGACATTCCTGGAATGCACTGAGGACAACTTCCTGGTCCACATTAGACCAACCAGAAGAGAGGTGTTATTGGAACTGGGGCTATCACCAGTGCAGAGAAGCTCATTAAAGAGACTATGATTGGGGCTATATTGATTATGCTCCGGGAGAACAATTCACTGGGTGAAATCCCCTGGGAAGCTGTCCTTGCATAAAAAGGAGAGAAGGAGAACTGGCAACTCTTTAAGGATGCCTTTATGAGAACACAAGAGCTCTCTGTCCCATGGTACAGGAAAACAAGCAGAGGAAGCTGGAAACTGGCATAGCTGAACAAGGACCCACTAGTCAAACTGAGAGAAAAGAAGGACATATGTAGGGAGTGGCAGCAGGGACATGCAGCCTGGGAAGAATACAGGAATGCTGTCTGGAGAAGTAGAGGTGGGATCAGGAAAGCCAAGGTGCACACTGAACTGATTAGACAAGGGAAGTGAAAAACAACAAGAAGGGGTTCTACAGGTACATTGTTCAGAACAGACAGACCAAGGAGAGCATACCCCCTCTGATAAATGAGAAAACTGGCTAGAACAAACATGGAGAATATACGGAGAAGGATATGCAGAACAAAGCTTTCCCTCTGAGAGATCTGAAGATTTGAACACTTTTGAAGGCAATGACTTCAAGTAAAAGATAGCAATCACCACTCCTCATGACTGCTAAGCAGCATTTCCATAGAACTCAGCTCTGCATAATCATTCAAAGCAAAGTATCAAAAAGACTGAACATGATTAAGTTACAAGCAGTTCTTCAGCAGTTATCATGTTCTTCTGCGAATGTCAAAACAGACTAATGCAGTCTCACAAAGTAAAACCAACTATCAAATGGAATAGATGGTAAAAGCAGTACTAGCCCCTCCCTGCATTAAAAAAATTGAAATAAACCGAGTTCCTTTCAGCTGAAACATGAGATGTGAAGAGTCAATGAGCCTTGCAAAAGCATTCAGCCATTTTCTGGAGGCCAAACTACCAAAACTACTTTTGTTTGTTTCTAACCAGAAAAATATTTTAAAATCTCAGTCTCACAGAACTGAAAAGACAAATTTTCTACTCTACATACCTTGTTTTGATTCCTGACCTTCCAGCTTGTCTTCTCGCAAAGAAGAAGTGGAGTCTATGCTGTTGTCCTGCCTGGAAGCAAAAGAAAAGACATTCCAATCTATGTTTTTCACAATGTAAAGAGTACATTTCAAGAGTACTAAAGAAATTACACGGTGGTAAAGCACCCAGCTTTTCTAAGCATTTGAAAATGAGCTATCATTTGTTACACCTAACGAGCTCCAAGGATGAAGTAACTATTTTCAGTACACTGTTGTCTTGCACAATACCAATTCTCACTGATAGTGTCTCCCTAACCATAGAAGTTTGTCTGTAAAACTCAGCATAAAATGTCAGAGTTAAATCACTTGAAAAACTATAGTTTCAGTTGCATTCAGATCATATTTACTCTCTTCATTTGAATTAAGAAGCTGTTTTCATTAAGTTATTGTCACCCTACCACCACCCATCTTTTCTGTAATACAGTATCACTTTTTCACTAAGGGCTGCTTCTTAAAAGGAAACGAAACTCAATTGCTAAGTAGTATTCAATATACATGTTTGTTTCTTCAATTTACTGTTTTTTGCTGCAAAGTTACACATGCTTTATGAAACAGATTTATGAAATATTAAATCACAGGAGAAATACTGGAATTTCACTTCTCTCACTCAATTTTCTAAAAATCTGATGTGTGATGAAATACAATCAAAAGAAACAACTTTAATGACTTTATAACTTGTTCTGAACAAAAATGTGAGCCTTCTGTTGAACCAAAATTACTGACTAGACCTGGAATTTAAAGTATTATAATTATCTTTCCCAAATCTGTTTCTATTCAGTAAATTTGGATGAACTTACCAAACCAGCAACTAACAAGTACCTTAACAAGCAGACACTAGTATTAAGACCACAGTGTTTCAAGGCATTTATTAAAGTTGTGTACTGAATGTGTGGACCATCTTTACAAAGATGATCAGGGTGCTGCAGCACCTCCCCTATGAAGACCAACTGAGTTCAGCCTGGAGAAAAGAAGGCTGCGGGGTGACCTCATTGCAGCCTTTCAGTACCTAAAGGGAGCCTACAAACAGGAGGGGAATCAACTCTTTGAAAGGGTTGATAACTGCAGGACAAGGGGAAATGGTTTCAAGTTGAGGGAGGGAAGGTTTAGGTTGGATGTCAGGGGGAAATTCTTTACAGAGAGAGTGGTGAGGTGCTGGCACAGGCTGCCCAGAGAGTTGTGGATGCCCCATCCCTGGAGGCGTTCAAGGCCAGGTTGGATGAGGCCCTAGGCAAACTGGTCTAGCATTAAATGGGGAGGTTGGTGGCCCTGCCTGTGGCAGGGGGGTTGGAGATTCATGATCCTTGAGGTCCCTTCCAACTCTGGCCATTTTGTGATTCTGTGACCAGCTGTAAACAAGTCAGCAATCAAAACAGAAAATCTTCTAGCTTTCCTACGTGCTTACTGTATTATATTGTTGTATCTTCTACAGATTCCTGTGGACTTAGATTCCTAGAATTTGATACATTGTGGGTACATTGTGGGTACACTAACACTCTTTTCCCCTTGACTACTTTTTTTTAGAAATTGTCAGAAAGAGGTTACTCTTTCAATGTAAAAGTCACTTAGTAACATACTATGCAAGACTTGTGTCCTTAAAAAGACAGAAGTATTTTTTTTAAAAAGGTTAAAAACAAACAAACAAACAAAAAAATGGCCTTTGCAAAAGTGCAGATGCCAGCCTAAGAATGAGCAACTACAAACATCGGTACTCGAAACTCCAGACATTATGCTACATCCTCAACAGGAACACAGGAACTGTTAAGTGTCAGTGCCGCTCCAACGGGGAGAGGAATGAAGGACCAGAAATAAGGATGGAAGGAAAGCAATACATGTCAGCCCAAAAACTCTTTACAAGAAGTTCACGGATTTCAGTGGGAAGGGTTATTCAATCCACTGTAGTTCAACTGAAGAATGTTAACATGAATCACACAATCTCACTTTTGCAGCATATGTTCAGTTATCACAACTGAACTGATGGGAAGTAATGCCAGTGTGAAACTCATTTATCTAACATTATCAAAACACGTTTGGATGCGTAATGCTTGCTAGCACTAACAGCTCACTGCCATTTTACCAAAGTAATTATATAATTAAGGTTAAATCAATTGAATCTCTAAACGCTACATTTGATCACTCTTCATGAAAAAATCCCAATTTTGCTTTCAGTATTTCTAAATTAAGTTTTGAACTGTTTTCTTTTACTCACTGACTGACTGATTCACCTCCAGTCTTGTCTTCTCCATCACCATCCTCGTCAGTATCAGAATCAGCTCCACTCTTGCCTAGGTATACACAATTTCAAACATGCAAGTTTAGGCACCTAGCACAATTAATGCTATATAGTAACTTTAATTATCTCTACTGAAATCTGAAACAGTTGTTCTAAAGTCAGACATGGACAGAAACAAAAAGCTTATTCACAGGATATCTGCTAACACATGATTAACATTTTTCAGTTACACATTTTTCAGTACCACAATATGATAGGCAATAAGAATAAAGCACAGGAGACATAAGTAGTACAAAGTACTCTCTACTGTTCAGGATTCAACTGTTCCACTTGATTGAGAAGACAATAACAATAAATTCTGGAGACCTTAGAAACTAAGAGGAAATCCAGGAAGATACTGAAACACTGCAACATCATGCCCGTAATAAAAATGTATGAACTGCGTGTCTCAGCAGAGCAGAGACATGCACCAAGAATTCTTTAACTACCCTGAATAATCTAGTGCAACTGTTAATAGTGTTGATCTAGTATTGTGGAATATAAGACTTCCCTTGCAGAGAACTAGGAGGTAACTTAACATTAGTTTACCCAAAGTAATGGACTCCAAACAGTTCTTCCGAATTCCTGGCTTTGCTTCATCACATTCAAGCCAAAACTTTTGTTCTTAGTTTGGGTACTATGGAAAGGAACATTACACAGTCATTTTTGAACATGTCCCTAACACCTTCAGAATTACTGGATGTTTTTACCAAGGATTAAAAGGTCAAGACTAGCATATACATACATATATTTATACATACATAGCAGTACCTGGAAACACAGGCGCAGTTAAAGGCAGACTACTTTTGCTTTCCTTATGCTCTGTGTACAGTGGTGCCTAAAAGTTTCATTCATACCTTCAAGTATCTTCAACAGTTTTTTTTCAGACAACATCTCCAGCTGCTCCAAGCAAAGCCTTTTGATTTCATCCATGGAACAGCTCTAAGAAGACAGACAGACAGACAGGCCACAGGCTAGTAAACATTTCTGAGGAAAGAATAATTACAAACGCTAAGTAGATCTCCAGCCCTACATAGTAATTCAGAATCTATTCACTGTTCTAACTTGCTCTGATGTTACTACTGAAAAACATTAGGTAGCTGATTTTAGTGTAACAACCACCAAAAACAGTCGAGGATTTTCAGTTCATTTGTGTTTTGCTCAAAAAAAAAAAATAAATAAATAAATCAAGCAATACACAGTATTAGTTACTTGATTGTTGGGACTTCTCACTGCAGCTGTAACACTGATCAGTACAAATAATGGGACAGAGGTTTCAAGCACGGAAGACCAAACTGACTGCAGCCCAGATCATCGGTATTTTTCTGTCATTCAGGAGGAGGTGAACTACATAATTAAGCCTGCAAAAACCAAAGTCAATTGTTGAGTCCAAGTTCACAAATGGAAGTCAACAATGGTACTGACAAAGCACCAAGAGGAATTACGTATCACGGTTTAGCATAAAAAAGAAGCCATAAAAATACATAAATTGTGATTCATTTCTCATGCTTGATATCACACATTTATTTAGCCTATGGATATTCCAGCTACTTCCACATATTTTGTATTTCTTGGTGTCCTCAAGGTGAAATGATAATTTTGCATTTCTAAATGAACTACAATGCCATTTACACGTACGAAAATTAATCAGTACTGAACATCTGATCTAACACACGATTTTACTGTCACTTTCATCCCAACACTACTGTGTAATTTCTTTTCCACATCAGTTATGCCTTTGCCTCTAACCACACTACTCCATTTCTCTCAGATAAGAAATGAGTTACACTGCATGCAATTTACTGAGCTTAAAACGTCTGTCCTGCCTCACTTATACCAATATAGACTTATAGATTAAAATAAAAAAATAAGACAAAAATTGAAAACCTATTAGTTAACACTAAACTAAAACAGCACAAAAACAGCACTCCACTTGGAGCCTCCCTCTCTGTACAGACTGCTTTTGTATTTTCACCAAGTCCTGCTCTTCACAACAGTCAAAAAGCATTCTAAGTCAATAAAATACTACAGGTACTCCTATTAAACCCCAGAAAAGTAACAGCTTCAAGAAGCTGTTTAACTAGAAAGGATTTTATTATTTTAAGAAACTTGGATAGCTCAAACGCAAATCAAGCTTTTATTAACACATCAGAATACTTACCACTGAACATGACTGAACTCATTCCATGCAATTAGAACTCCTCTTACATATGAATAACAAGTACAGACAGGTGCTATAAAAATAGCTGCCCAGTTCAGTTACAGCAGCACGGAAAAAAAGAGTAAGCTGTGGAACAACCACATGAAACCTTTAAAAAGTCTCCCTTTTTAAGACTTGATGTAATCTTTATTTAAGAAATATATAGGCAAATTTTAAGCTGAAAGTCCACTACCCCTGAGAAAGAAACGTGTTTTGCTACATGAGCATTCAAGCTTCTGCAAAGCACACACAAGAAGGCATTTCAGTACCTTTAAAATGTCAGGCAGCATCTTCTGTAGTTTCTTCTCCCCTATGACACAGAAACACTGCTGAAGCATTTCCTTCTTGTCTGCAATGTAGAAACTGACTGGTTTGAGAGACACGCTGAGATCTAATCCCCCTTCCTCTACATCACTGAGTTGCTCGGATTCTTCTGTTTTTTCTCCAGGTGGCACATTGCATTTTTCTTCCTGAAATCAAAAAGACAAGTACAGCTTTCACGTCTTCCAGAAACTCAACACTTCACCAGCGACAGTGACAGGTTTTTGCTTCACACTCGTAAGACATCTCGAAATGGAATTCTGAGTTTTCAAACACCGTTTTAACTTCGGGAGCGTTACAAAAGATATTACCAAAAATTGCTGCGCTAAGCGAAACGGAGCAGCGCGGTGACAACACAAACAAAGAAACAAACCTCCCTTCCCACTAACTCACAGGCTGCCAAACAACTACAGGCATCTCCGCAAGGAAGGTCAGCCCGGACCTGCAACGAGACCATACGAGCCGCTCACCGAGGAGCCCCGTCACAGCGCGGAACGCCTCAGAGGAAGAAAGGCAAGGCGCGAATTCCCTCCCGCCCTCCATCTCTCCCGCTTTCTGCCCGTTACCTCCGGCGCGCCGCGACCGGACTCGGCGCTGCGCCGCTTCCTGTCGCCGCCCGCCGCTCCCTCAGGGCAGCAGGAGCGGGAGCGCCGCCGCTTCTTCTCCTTCCGGCCCGGCATGACCCCGCGCTCGCGCCCCGGGCGGCGGCGACGGTCGGAGCGCCCTGCCCCGGCCCGGCCCGGCCCTGCCGCTTCCGCCGCGCAGCCCGCCCTTTCCGGGGCGCCGCTGCCCGCCCCGCTGCCTGAGCGCCTTCTCCTTCCGTTTCTCTGCGAGGGTTTTGGTGTTGGCGTGCCGAACGCCGGGCTGGATCTTTTAATGTACCTTTTCTTGTTATTTCCAGAGTGTGTTTATGAACAAATAACTTTCGGTCTGTGAAACCAGGGCAGTTTTCACGTAAGAGAGAAAGACCACGGTAACAAAATCAAAACATGAGTATAGATTTCTTAGAATAGCGCTTGTACAAACAGCTACAGAGTACAATATGTGGAAGCTGGAGGGTCAAGAACAATTGTATACAGGCACCTGAAATACCGAAGTATTTCCTGAAGGTAGCATTCTAGGATGGATTCCTAGGGGTGGTTTGATCTATTGGTAAACTGTTTAAATCCCGTGTAATGCCATGATCTGTCTTGTACTTGCACCCACAATCGATCAGCAGTGAGAGACAGTGATGAAGGCTCTGATCAAGGCTGTTTGTGATTATATGTATCTGAAAATTCATCAGAATTGCAGCAGGATGCGTGCAGCTATGGAGCTGAGTATGCGTACTCATCTGACAAACAAGTTTGCTGGAAACACAACGCAGTTGAGCTGAGATGGAGCAGAAAAAGTGAGAGCTCTTGGTCACAAAATCTGCCATAGATGATGCAGACATGTATTGCAATGAAGAACAACTGTGCCGGAAAAACTTGACCTTTTTTTAATGATTTCCATTCTGGTAATATAATTACTTATTTTGAAGTCACACTGAACTTTGGCCATCCTAGCTCTAAACAACAGTGGCACATGTGTGGGAGTTCTGCAGTTTTTCATTCCCCAGCAGGCACAGGGTAACAGAACTATCACTAGGATCTGTGAAGCTGATTAGGAGCCTGACAAATTTCCTGTACAAGGAAAGGCAGAGACATGGTTCTCTTCACCCTGGAGGAGACAAGACTGAGGAAAGATCCTATCTTACAAATATCTAAAGGGCAGATGTATAAGAGTTTTGGGGACAGGCTCTTTTCATAGGTGAGCAGTGGTAGATTAAGGAGCAACAAGAAAATGTTGGAAAGCAAGATTTCCACACAAACACAAGGAGGAACCCTTTTCAAAGACACCACAGTGATTTTTATGAAATCACTTCATAAAATTTGACTTCACTGGTTTCTGCTATTGCCTGTCACATTACTTGCATTTAAGTTCCTCCTGCATTCTCTTAAAATAGTCTCATTTTCTTTTTTATCAACTAATGCATTCTAACATATTTCGAAGTAAGAGTTTTGCTATAAATCAGTAGAAAAGTTAATCTAAGAAGCTTGTTTAAGCAATTTTGTAAACTGAAAAACATTTAGCACTGAAGCACTGTCTATATAGCAGTTTAAGATTCCACTCTTCAAAAAGTCACTTAATTCTAGATTTAAAAAAACAAACAAACAAACAAACAAAAAACCCACACAAGATAGAAGATACCCAAGTTTTAAAAGAAGTGGAAAAGTGGGAAAAAGATGCTGGAAATCATGTGCATGTCACTTCCTTACTATCATATTTGACCAGTTAGTATAGTCAGTGTTAATTAACAAGTTGGTGAAAAGCACTTTTCAACAGACCCTCTATCAACAGGACCCTTTCTCTGCTGGCAAACAGCATGGTCAAGAAACAGTCATTGCACTGAAATGTGGAAACATGGTCGGGTGAGCAAGGGAGCTGGCATCTCTGATCACAACCATCTCTTACATTACATTTCTGTCTAGATAATGTTTAAGGAATGAGACTTTTTGACTTGGTGATCTACTTGGATCTGAGCTACAACAGAAGGGCTTTCTGAAACAGCTCTGCATAGTAGACTTCAGAAAAGTAGTCAAGGGAAGAGAGTGAAAAGTTTTATTTGCTCCGTACTTCACAATAAATCAAGTTTATGTCATCCACAGTATTTTCTCCATTATATTCTGTCACAAAGTATGAACAAAAGCATATGTTCTTCTGTATACGGTGTGTTGCTCAAGTGTTAAGTAAAACAATTACAACAGATTAAGAACAAACCTACAGCATTCCTTTACTTTAGCTGGTTCTGACACAGACACATACTTCTTTATTTGAGAGTCAACTCCAAGAGACTTAGCTAATTGCACAGCATTTTTATCATCACTGATTAGTGTTCCCAGAGCCACAAGGAGTCTAAAAACAGCTTCAAGATCTTTAACAACTTCCATAACTGTGCTGATAACTGATAAACATTGAGCTTTGCCCTCAATGTTGTTCACTTTATGTAAACATACAGCATAGTTCAATGTCAGTGTTGCAAGTGCAATGTGGACATTCTTATTATTGCCTGATTTCACTTCTACTGCTTGTGTCATTATTTCATCCCTCTGTTCCATCAGGAGCTTCTGGCCTGCTTGGCTGACAAAGCAATTGCAAAGAGCTCTAAGTGCCAACAGCTGGTTTGCTGGCTTTCCTTCAGGGTTCAAAAATTTGAGGAGGAGATGGATAAATTGCACGTGAGCCTCTTCACCACAGAAGTTCTCATTCACAATGGGATGCCTGACAGACAATCTAAGAATGTCAAGGGCTGGGAAGACAATATCTAAGAAACAAGAAAAATATGTTTCAGTATTAAAATATTTGCATTAGGTGTGAACATGCTGGTGAGTTTGCTTCAGTAGCAGACACTTTTAAATCCCCAACTTTGGGAACACACTAACATTTAATATATAAACTATATATATATATATATATATATATATATATATGTCATTAATGGCTTTTTATATATAAGATATAAATATGCATATATATGTTTATGCTGCTTAAGTTAGGATAGACTCCACAGAGTTTCTCAAAGCTTCCCAATGACTGAATACGCAAATACCATCACCATTTGTCTTCATGCTGTATCTCAGAGTTTAGAATAGATACAGAACTGATTGCAGGAAAAGCAAGGTTGTTTTTAGGCCAACTTCAACTCTTACACATAGTTCAGAAGAAAAATAAAATACATTCAACTGATTAGCTATGTAACTATGTATCACTATAAGGAACCTATATTTACAGTTTGTTCAATACTTCCCTCTCAACTTCCCTAAATTTCAAATATGTTTGGCTCCTAAGCTCTGTTACCAGTATCCTAAGCTTACACCCATATCAAGGAAATTGAACCTGCTTAGCAACTCACTGTGCATTTTTTCCCCACAGATATGCAGTAACTGTAAAATTAACACATGATATCAGACTTCCTGTAACGTACACAGACATTAGCCATAACAGCTCACAGTTCTATACTGTAAGCAGTTTTCAATTTAAAAAAGTATTTTTCCTGTTAATAAGCTTTTAAGACTCATTTTAAAAAAGAAGTTCATCTTAAACATTGCATGTTTAGGTATTTGTATATGCAATGTATCCAATTCTTCCAGGATATATGTTCACAAACAAGATAGTCTTTCCAGCCAGTCATCAGTACCGACAATGTTATCTAATGACATTGTATCACTCCACTTGCATTCATTCATTCAGAATGCCATTTAACTAACGCAGACTGCATGACCTAACTTCAGTAACTCCCATCATATTACACAGAAGACGTTTTGTGATATATATTCACATGTATTTAAATACAACTCATTTCCATAATTTTACCTCTCATTTGATAGAACTCTAACTTTGCTTTATTTCCTAATAGGCCTCAGAGCTTCTTGAAGAAGCTCTACTAATGAAATAACTGTGACTGATGTTTGTATCAAATTTCTCTTTTACCTTTGTTGTTGTGCCAGCAACCATCTGACAACTAATTAACAGTTCTGCTGTTCATGCTGGTACCCCTGTTATGTTCTCCACTGGGTTCTGTCTGAGTTATAAACTCTCTGGGACAGACTTTGTAACTTCCAGCATTAACAAGAGTTCTGGTTCATAGTGAAGTACTGATGAGACAACAATATGAAAAAATAATCGCAAATGTCTACCTTCTGGCCAGTTAATCGCTTTCCATAAAGTTTGCATTTGTTGTGCTGTAGGCATTTCTGCAGAGGTATTGCATGTTGCAGACAGTAACTTTTCTAGGATTATCAAGTCATCTTCTGTAAGTTTTTGTTCTTCAGCAGCATTGCTATTAAGTTCCTTTAGTTTACCTGTAAGACCAATTGAAGAGGTATAATTTTCAGCTAAACAAAACTCTTTACAAAAAACTGGATTTGCAGTATTTTACACAGAACTGCTGTGATCATTTAAGAACATTACTTCTCACAATTTCAGGTTTCTAATTTCAATCATCACAACAAATATTACTATCAAGCCTCCTTAATACTATAGTGCTGGTTCAGAACTCACATTTTAGACTATGTGCAAGCAAAGATGGAGAAGAAATGGAAAAGATTTGAATAAAATAATTTTAATCTGGAGATGTTTGAACTAGGTACTGTATTTTCCTACAGCGTGAATACAAACTGGTTTTACAAAACTCATAACTGCGTTAAGGCACTCTACAAGAACATACTGTAAAAAAAAAAAAAGAGACAAGTAGAGATTCTGTGGAATTCTGAGATTATGTTACATTACAGAACAAGAATATGGATGGATAAACAGAAAAAGACAACAGCAATATTCATCAGAAGTGTGCATTACTACTAAACACTGTGTATCATTTTCTGTACCGCAAAATGTTCTGATTAAACACAGAAGAGACGACTCTATGAAACTACAGAACACCTTCAACATAGCACAGGTTACACTGTACTAGTGTCTAGTGCTTTTAAACTTTCATAAGCAAAACTGCAAAGGGATTGCATATGACCCACATACCCAGCAGCTAGGAGAAAAAAAAATCTCAGTGCTCAGATGTACCAGCTTTGTAAACAAAACACCGAACGAAAGCAGACAGCAGGAGAAAGAAAAAAAAAAACAATCTGCATTAGATAGGAATTCTTCTGAAGTTGACTCC